GCCCAATGCAGCCGAGCTTCAACTCAATGATATCATACCAGGGAATTGGCTCCGAAACCAACAGCTCCTCACCATGTGCTTGGGATTGGCAAGAAAAGGTGTTCCCTACCGACCTCAACCCCTCTTTTCGGGGGGTAAGACTTGAGCTTAGTAGCTCCAGTTGAGCCTTTAAGGTCTTGTTTGGAGCGTCTTGGGACAAAGTTCCTCAAAGCATACATCCAACATCCACGTGCTTTACAGGATAAACCTCCACATCAACCGCTAAATCTGATGTCTGTGCTGACCCATTGGGACGACACGCACCGAAGCGCCAGGATCATCTCCCAGGAGGACCGGCAGCTGCACTCCTCCTTCGCGCGCCTGGCCATGGCCAGCGCCCGGTCCGTGCACGCGGCCACGCGCCGCGCCATGCGCCGCATCAAGCTGAGCCGGGGAAGCCCAGTCGGAAGCCTCAGGCTTTGGGCCTTTCGGCGGGTTTTGCAAGGGCTTCACAAAGGCTTGTAGCGCTTCACAAAGGTTTTACAACCGTAGGACAGGAATTTTGAAGAGGATCTCCAGCGGAAATGGTTTCCCGTTCAAGTCAAGTACTGTACCACAAACGGGGGTGGTTTTGTGACATATCCCACACACTTTTAGCAAGGAACCAACGAAGAACCACTAAGTTTAAAGTTTAAAGCTATCCAACACGGAAGTTCCCTAGAATTTGAGCAGGGCTGGAGGTATCATCGGGAAATCCTCCCATCCTAGGCTTCACCAAGGCAATTTGTTGCAAAGGAATCCCAAGAACCTTCAGACCCCAGGACTGCAGGTTCTGATTCCGCCAGGGCGGGTTTCAACAGAGAAGAGAGGAGGGCTTCTCCCACCTTTTCGCCCACAAGTCCACTTGCCCGTGATTGACCCTTTGGGATGTGCAATTTGTTTGGACCCCCAATCTAGAACTCAGAGCCTTGCGTTGAGGTACCTGGGCGAAGTGCTTGGACGACGCCGACGGAGGCGGTCATGCCATCGTCGTAACGGGCAAGAAGTCGCTCGCGTGTTCGTTGCCAAGCGAGTATGGTGTATTGCTTTGAAGCTACAACAAAGGGATTGGTTGCTACGGTGCTGAACCAGGATTGGATAACAAATGTCTGAATGGGATGAATAGGATTTGCTTCCCCTGAAGGGGAAGGCACCCCCCCGCAAATGGGACACCCCACCAGCAAGAGGTTTAGCTCCTCTTGGGGGGCTTCTTTGCGGGCTCTTTGTAGGTAACCAAGCTTCCTACTACTCACCTGCCATGGCCAACTTGGCAAGTGCCCAAGTAGTCTATGGTTCATGTCTGCTGCCATTCCATTCAACCACACCAGTGGGGCCTGATCATTTCGGGGAGTGCCCTAAGCTCCGCGAGTGCATCATGGCTTTAGGAATCTGCCGGTTTTGGGGGCATTTTGGCTTTCAACTGAGAAGAGGATGCTGCACCTCGCGTCGATTTTGACGTTTTCTGGCACTCGGTATTGCTCTGCCTTTGGGACATTTTGCCTTTTAGGTTTTCCAACATTTTGGCCCTTTCAGCACAAAGTCTAAGTCTGGCCATGAGGGTCCCCTTTCTTTAACTGCATATCGGCGCAATGTATGAACCCTTGTATCGACCCCCAGCATGTACCTGTGGTTTATGACGCTGCATAATGTTCACCATTGTTTTTCAGAGTCACGTTGCTTTTCTTGCAAGATCGAAGGAGAAGCAAGCGGATTTGATGCTTGAGCGAGCTTTTCCTTTCTTTGCAGCCATGAGGCTGTCGGTTTTCGAGAGAAGGAACCCGAACGATTGAAATGATGGGAATGTGCTGCTCCTTAAGGAGGCATTTTGAGGGCGCCCGCAAGAGGGGCCTGTTGGATGGTTTGAGAAGGAGCCAACTGGATACCGTCGCATGCGAGTTTTGGGGTCTGCGTTTCTTGGGACGCTCTGGTATCCCCCCTTTTGGTTCTCCCTTTTGAGGGTTGCCGCGGGGTTGAAGAATAGGGTTCAAGAGAGACCCTGCAGATCAATGCGGAACCCCAATACCCATCCGTTTTTGAGGCATCTCGCTTTACACCCACAGGGGTGAATCGAATCCAAACAGGGGTTAAATCGACCCACCCACAGGCTCTGAGCAGCAGTCCAGCTTGGAAAAGGCCGTCCTCGAGTCCTTGGCTGAGATCTTGCGCGAGTTCGGAAGGCGAAGAGCAGACCTAGGGACTCCATGGGGGTCTCCTCCGAAGTGGGCTGAACCCTTCTTTTAACGAATTTTGCGCACACTTCACTTACCCAACTGACCTGCTGGAAATAGAAGGTTAATCTTCTGGGAGCTGGACGAACTGCTGTGGATGGACAAAATCCACTTCGCAGCAGTTGGCATCGCTGAAACCCTATGATGACTGGCGAGAAGCCGCCAGCAAGTTACTTCTCACCTAAGAGCACCCAGTCCTTCAGTCTCCCCCAGCAAATGATCAGGCGGGGTACTTCGTAAGTTGTTGCCCGTTTTGGTGCTCCTTGGTTTGCCGAATCTGTTTGCGACAGGGCCTAAGTCTGGCCAAGAAACGTAGGCTGGTTGATCACCTGCTTGGATTGTGGCTGGTTCTTGGTTCTATGTTTCTGAGTAGCTGGTTTGCTTTTGTTTGCTCTTTGTTGAGAACTTGCTTTGCCGCAGTTAGCAGTCAGTTGTCAAGATCTCAGTGTTCTTGGCGTTTAGCAGTTGAACACACTGGACACCGACCTGGTTGTGGTTGCTCAAACGAAACAGATCCCAACAGTGACAGATTTGGGGCCAAGTCGCCAATCGGTTTGGGGCGGTTCTGGGCAGGTAAAAAGGAACGTCCAAGGGAGCTGTCTGGCAAGTTCCAGGCAAGTTCAGGCAGGTTCCGGGAAGTCTCGGGGAATAAATGTTGGATACTCTCTGGGGCTTGTTCGATTGGTTGACGTTTTCAATGGCTTTGTGCCATTTGAAGATTAATTGATCTCTGGGATGATGCTTAAAGGAGACAATTTAAGGAGCTCGGTGTACAGGGAGACCCACGAAAGAAGCCCAGGTATCTCCAAAGCAACTGGAGCCCTAGGTTCCGATGAGGTGGCTGGAGGGTTTCAAGGGGTGTTCCGAGAGCCTTCATGGAGCGGCGGGGGAAGATTTCTGCGGGTTTCTATGGAGCCGTGGGCTAGGTTTCCGGATTCAGCGGGCAGAGACCCCATGGCGTTCAGCTGTTGGGGACAAAGGGGGAATGTGGCGACAACGTCCTTTCCTATTCTCTTCAGCTGGATCCTTCTCTTCAGCAAATCCGAGGGATTGATCGGTGAAGAGAATGGGGCATCAACTCGAGCAATGGGTTGAAGTCAATGAACAGACGGCAGTCCCTTTTGGTGTTTTGCGTTGAAAAGCAAGGTCTTGCAATGGGCTGCTGCAACTAAATCTGGGTCGGGGACCCTTGGGATGGTCTGCTGAGACGAAACAGGAAACCGCAGTTTTGGGGGCAAGTGGAACGCCGCGGGGAGGGGGTGGTGGGGAACCACACTGTCAGCCCCTTCACCAGTTGCCAGTTGAGCCACAATGAAGGTAAGCAAGGGACAGTTGCGACCATACGTGCCGCCCTCTTGATTCTTTACACGGTTTTGGGTACCACCAAGTTTTTGGGTTTTTGACTCAGTTGACTTCAATCTCTGCGCGGCTTGATTCCCGTGGAGGGAGCCGAGGCCGTGGTGTTAGAACATATGTATTTGCTGAGTGAAAGGTCGACGCGGTTCATGCCCGTTGTTCTTTAAGCAATGGCTAAGCACATAACCACCCTTTGATCTCTCCTTCTTGCTCTCTGATATTCTCGTGTCTTTCTCCCTCTCTCCCTCTCTTGTGGTTGTTTGTGATTTTTGTTTGGAATTGAAAGACACACACACACACACACACGCAGTGTTTCTTGTTGGACTCGTAGCAAACGAACGGAAGTTTTGGTAACCAGGGATTCGACTGACGTCCGAGGGAAGCCGACCTGCAAGAGAACGACGAGAGCCCGGGGCTCAATGTACGCTTGTTTGAAGTTCGAAGCCGGCAGAGGGTCATTGGGACCTAAGCACGAAATTGGAAGCATGAACGGATGTGGAAGTGCACAGACTTGTGGATTTTGTACATATCAAGTAATCAAACAAACCATGGAAGACTACAGGGCTTTCAGCTGGATCCCTTCTTGCTTCGTGTTCTGGGGGGTATTTTGAAGTCTCCTGTGTCATCTTCCCCTCGTTGGAAGCCATGCTACTTGACCGTTCCCAGTGGACACGAGTCGATTCCGCCCACTCCGATCAGCGTCGCTAGGTCAGCAGATCATCACCTATGACCAGCTTCTGGCGCTCCTCACTGAGGCGAGCAGTTCTTTTCGCTTCGGTTTTTCCGGTCGGGGTGAAACGGCCTCGAAGGAGAAGTGACTTGTGGCAACCAGCGGGAAGTGTTTTTCTCTTGGGCTTCCCTTGAACCTCAACCAAAGGGTGCGTGGTTTGGGTTTGGGAATGCACCGGAAGGGAAAGGAAACCACCAGTTGGATGGTGCAGTTTGGGGTTCCAACTGATTTTCTGAGCATCACGAAGAACAAACACCAATCCAGACACATCCAGACAGCCGGGTTTCCCGTTGAGTCAACCTACAAGAGCAGGAGCTTAACACGTGGGTTCTTGATCCCATTTTGAAAACCCAGATGGGAGGCAGACGTTGGTCTCAGGTACCAGCGGTCAAAACAGGTGACTTTGTTTGTCACGTGAACAGGCCCGCGCAGGTGGGAAAGCAAGGGATTTGACATTTGCGTTTCCTTGAGGACCACATGGAACCACCATTGAGAACATCAAGGGAGACATCAGGAGCCACTTTAAAAGCTTAGCGACGCCCTCTAAGAAGCACCTTTTTAGAAACGAAGGTTCCAAGAATCTGGGTGGGGGCCTTTGGATATATTGGGAGCTTTCGAGCCGAACAGCAGCCATTAGACACCGAACCTTGGGCCGAAGCCTCCCCGCC